CCCCCCATAACCACAGTAATGGGGGAAGAGCAAATGCAGACATAAAGAGGATGAGAGGGTAAGCAGGGTCAGAATTGACCTAGAATTTATCCTATCAATAATTCTTAGATTGTTGCTCAAGATATTATGTTAAATTCATGAAAGAATGGAAAAAAACAGAGTTTGGGAAGAGGTCTGTGCGAGAGCATGTTTGAGAAGCAAATTCAGTGCTAAAGATCCAACCTTTCTGGAAATGACTCAGCAAACAAGCAGAGGCACAAAGAAGGTCCTGTATTGCACCTGGAGTCAACTTTCTGCTGGGATTCCTAATTAAAAGTTGTGGTGAGATGTGCTACTTATATATATTTTTAGAAAGAGTCAAAGGCATTACACATTTTTTCACTAGTAGCGTTGACTCTGGGGAACCTTATCAGTGAAGAAGCTGCACACTGACAGCAACAGATGTTAAACTACAATGTAGTCCTTATCTGCCTTTAACTGAGGATGACAGAGAGAAACCTGAAGACCTAAATGTTATTTTGTCCAGTGTTTGGCATTATTTATCTGGGTTATGAGTCCATATTTTGCAGTGTAAGAAATTTCTGTACATGGCCTCTGTGAAAACACATATGAAATATAAACATGGGTTATTTTATGTCAATCATAGTACACTTTTGATAAATTAATGGCATCAAAATAATAAAAAAACCCCATTTGTATACATTTTAAGATTAATCTTTTCCAGTGATGTTGCCAAGACGAAAAGGGATCATTTTCCTACACTGTATAAGGGATATGCCATCATTACTGAACCCAGCAAAGCACACAGTCCTCTTTAGTTTAGCTAAATGAAAGTATTCCGTAGTTAAATGAAGTGTGTATGCATTCCAAATATTTTAGGTATGATGCATGTTTTATTCCTTTCCTCTTACCATCTCACTGTCCCAATACTTGCTGGCATTCTTAACAGATTTTTTTTCCAAGTATTTTGTCCCTATATAGTTATTTATATTAGAAGTATTAATAATTCAGGCTTTCTTGTTTTAGGAAATATGATCTAAAATTGCTTTTAAAGAGGAAACTAAGAGGAAAGAGAACTATCTCAGGAGGGTTTGTACTTAATAGGACACCTACTACTTTGACAATATAAATTAAAACAGAAGGTGCATGAGATGCACCAAAGCATAATTTGAAGAATATGATTAGTGTATGCATGAATAGTAGACAGAGTGGAAAAAGGGAGACCAAGAAAACTGACATCTATATCAGTGTTGGTTAAAGTCTGCTCTTGTCTTTTGAGAATAATAAGTGTTAAATCTAAAATGCCTACCCAAAATTGAATTAATTTGTTCACTCTTTCTATAAAATGTGAAATTTTCTTCTCCCCACAAATATGAGATTTATTATTTTCAATCTTTTTGATTCATGTTGGAAGCAGATAACATTGGTACACTCCATTAAAATTATTCTTTTACATTTAAAAAAAGAGAAAACAAAACAAAATGCTGAAGGGAGCTAACACTACATCTGAGTTTAGGCAGTTCTCAAAGATTTCCTCTCCAATAATCTTTTCTTCCTTTCATACTCACTTTTTTTGTGTTTTGCAGAGATGTGATAGTAACATCCAGAATTTGGAAGTTACGACACTGTGGTTTTTACTATCCTAAGAGATTTTTACTGTTCAGTAGCATAAGGCCTTTCATAGATAAGGGGAAGTATGACTTTAAGGAATACATTACCATAGCAGTGTTTACTTGGTCTCTGCATTTTCCCTGCTCTCTGAATGGAGAGTTTTGTACTGGATGAGAGGGGAGTTCTGTACTGGATGACAGGGGAGTTTTGTACTGGTAGAGAGGAGCCATGCAGTCTCAGACGGGAGCCCAAAGAAGCAGTGTTGAATTCAGAAGATGAAAGGCTGAGCATTTTGCATTCTCCTAAACCTGTCCAGATGAATTTGGGAAAGAAACCACATTAAAATAATGTAGGCGTCTTCTCTCTTTTTCATTTCACCTGTGATGATGTCAGTGGAGAAGTGGGTTTGTCCATCCCAAACAAACATCCCAGAATCAAACGCCCTTTACCAGCCCATAGGGATCTCCTCAGATAACATGGAAGCACATTATAGATGTTATATAGAGTCCTTTAAAAAATAAGAGCATGGATTTTATGTGTTGAAGTGATATACACAAAGGTATCTTGCTAAGGAGGAAGTACAGAAACACAAAGATTTAGAATATTTTTTGTTAGATATCACTGTGTAAAATAGAATTATTCCAAAATAGGATGAATTTTGCAGAATGTTGCTTGATTGATTATTCTGCCATATAAAATTAAACATTTTTTTAAAAATAAGTTTTATACTTTGATTTTTTTTTAAATTGTATGTGGAGGAATTAGTTCAAATTAGTCTTTATATAGAAGTTGAAGAAATATGAATGAACAGAACATATAGTTATAATACAATAATTTAATTAAATATCCTAAATATAACATTAAGGGCATGACTTTTAAACAGATGAGAGGAAGGAATGCACTGTAACAGATATCAGCATGTAGAGTATATTATTTATGTCTTTATGTGCACAGTTCCCAGTTAATGCTATTGCACACAAACTGAGAGGAAAATAATGTCAGCATGATAATCAAAGTCTCAAGTATAATTATTTTACAGAGTAAATATATTTACAAATCAGATTTTGAAAATATATTGACCAGCTCTGCTTAATCAGTTCCTGTTGCTTTTTCAACTGAAATCTGGAGCCATGTTCCTGCAGTCAGTTTATGTGGATGTGTCCACATTGTCAACCCAGAGTCAGTACACTGGGACTAGCTTCCACATGAGCTACAGTAATAACATACCTTTTAAATAAAAGTACAATAAGTAAATGAATAATGAGCATGTATTAATTGCAGTGAAGGTTTTCTTGGATACAGAGAGCAATTTAGTTCAGCACTGGTCTTCCATTATTCAAAAACTTGATTTCATTAGGAGCATGTGTTTGTGCAGTTACTGGAGTAATGCAGATAAAATTCATTTGCAGTTTGAGAAATGTCTACCTGTAGTCCTTTGATTGCAAGTGCAATCAGACAGATGTTAACACTCAAAGCTGTAGAAAAAAAACTATATGAAAAAGCCTTTCAACCAGAGTTTTTATTATTATCCTTTTTCACAATGTTGCCTTCATTTTTTTTTCTGTGTATTGCTTTAGAGAAAGTTAGTTTCGTTCCCATAATCCAAAAGCTGGAATGGATATAAAATCTTTGGGCAAATTATGTATGTATACTGAATAAAAACATATAGATTATTTTTTTGCAAATAAAACTACAAAAAATAATTTCAAGACAAGATTTAAACTTCTGGCAGATCATGTTACACGGTCAGCAGTTTTTAATAGCTGCCATATTGGTAGCCAAATCCTCTATCCCATGGCAGAGTGTCAAGAAAAGTCTTACCCCAAATGACTCAACGACATTCCTCCTGAAAGATGGAGCTGTGGGTTTCAGCTCCCTCAGGTGAAGGAAGGCATTGAAGCCAGATCTCTCACTTCCTGACCTGCTGCCTGATATCTTCATGTAAGGTAGATGGTGTCAACCACCTCTTACTCTCTTCCAGATGTACTTTAAAATGAAAGATGCTTCTCTTCCACATTGTTAGGTCTGCTCAGAGCATGGCGCAATCCATGGAGACTTGATGTGGTTTTGCATATTAGCTTAAACTAACTGTGGGTTGCTATGAGAAGAGATGTTAATCTTCCCTTCACTCTTGCTGTAGATATAATGGTCATATAAAGGTAAGGTGAGCTGCATTACTTTGTTGATCCACTTGAGAAAAAGTTTTCATTATGTTAGTTTTAAACGTTATCAGTAACTTGCTCCAGCACAGCCTGCTACCACCTGACAGTGTGTGGAGGAGGACGCAATGCGGGGCAGAAGGACAGCATTACTCCCTTTCTGTGGTGAGGCAGAGCTAGATGGGTAAGTTTGGAGTAAATGAAAGGTGGAACTCCTTACCTCATGATGTTGCGGATGCAAAAATTTCAGAGGCTTGAGGGAAGACTGAACAAGTTCTTTGAGATAAATCAGTCAATCTATTATTGAATATGAAGAGCCACCCCCTTCTCCCAAACACATGCTTGATTTACAAATTGTTGGAGGCTACGAAATTATTCTTGGAGAGCTACTGTATGTGCTTGTTCTACTTACTATGCCCTTCTCTAAGCATCTTGTATGGACAATAAGCCAGTTTAGATAGATCTTTAATCTAACCTAGTAAGGTGTCCATGTGCTTTTACTGCTTAAGAGGTCACTGTGCCCATAGATGCTTCCTGTTCATAGTTTTTTCCAGGGTGTGTTTAGTCAAGGTGGGATGTGGTGATCAAGTGACTTGCTGCTTCTGGAAAGAACAGTCCAGCCCTACTCAGCACTTC